ACACAATAATCTATCTTACGATCACATCGGACACTGACGCAAACATTTTGCAACATGATCTCGAAAAATTAGCAGTATGGGAACAACAATGGAAGATTGAATTTCACCCGGGAAAGTGCCAAGTATTATCTATCACCAGAAACAGAAACAAAATCAACCACAAATACACCCTTCATGGACATGTTTTAGAGGCAGTGATATCAGCCAAATATCCTGGATGTACCATCACGCAAGATCTCAAATGGGGCGTACACGCCAGCAACAACTGTGGCAAAGCGAATCGTACCATCGGATCCCTAAAACGAAATGTCAACATCAACTCCGAAAGCATCAAATCAAAGGCATACACCACCCTAGTTAGACCGGTTATGGAGTATGCAAGCACTGTGTGGGACCTCTACCAACAGAAAGACATTGACAGGTTAGAAATGGTACAACGGCGGGCTGCTAGATATGCCACCAACACTTACAGACGGACAGCTAGTGTCACCAGCTTACTAGAGCACCTCGGTTGGGCGTCGTTGAAAGACAGAAGACAACAAGCAAGACTACGTATGCTGTTCAAGATCCACCACAACCTCGTGTATACCAACTCCGACATGCTTATTCCACCGAGCAGACTGTCGAGGAATTCACACAGCCTTTCCTATCAAATTCCATCATGTGGTAGTGACTACAGGAAGTTCTCGTTCTTCCCACGAACCATCAGAGAATGGAACTCCTTACCAGCGGACACTGTCACCTCAGATGACCTAGAGGTCTTCAGATCTCGGTTATCTGTGCCGCTGTACTAATTTCCATCTTTTTTATCCTGTTTTTAACCAATTTTTTCAACAATGCGCACTCCAAAAACAAAAATGTCATTATAATCAACGTGATGATTGTGGACATTACTTGGCAGAAGCAGAAGTTCCTGGAGGTATCCCACTAATGGCTATGTGTTCTGCTGACTTGGTTGACTATTAGTTAGACTAACGCCTACTTATGGAGAAAATCAGCCAGAAATAATCAACCCGGGTAACACAAGTTGGCGAACTTTCTGTATCGAATCAATACCTGTCCCCAATCGATGTACCCGATGTGCAATAGTGGTTGCGTTTGCACCCACTAATGTAACAGGGTTCGTTAGAATTTGAAATAGGAATATCAAAACGGTTCCAATAGACAAATGTCACCACTGTTTTTCTTAATTTATGGACACTAAAAGACCTGTATTCATTGTTGAACAATTTGGAAAGTTTCTCGACTAAAATTATATATATCAAAGACAACAGGTTTGAACTAGCGTTCTACAAACAAAGAGAAAAGACGTTTCTGGGAATAGCTTGGGTATCACAAACTAAAACCCTGAGCATTTACTTAGGAAACAAGACAAAGGTATATCAAATCTTGATTGGGCGGATAGCATAAGAGATACTGGTGCACTAATTATTCTAATTAAAAACTGGAATAAGAGAAAATCGACATTTTGGTAAATCTGGCATTATTTCAATGAAGTTAATACCTAAGATACAGTGTAACGTACCAACAATACGTAGCAGGTGTCCAAAAAATAAATAATGAACAAAGAGCTGTAGAGGAAGTAGGCAGCTTTATATGGCATAATGGACCAGACATGAACTATCATGGATTCAATGTTTGTTATCCTCCGTAGACGCCGACAGGAAATCAAATCGGCGGGTCAGTAAAATTGCTTTTGCGTATGTCCCCGGGCTGTATAAAAATCTCCCAAACAGGAAAAACACGAGTTGTATGGGTATATTAAGAGAAAGAAAATCGGTTCAGGATTATAGTTATACGGATGCCGGTATACGAAATGAAGAAAATTTGGGGTAATATGCAAAATTATTAGAATTAAACGGTGTTTCTCCGATCCTCAGAAACTGAATAAAATCCCAATCTACTTTTACTTTTAATGATATAATAGATAGTAATGCAATTATTAATGAAATAATATTCATCGAAAGTTAACTCCAAAAGAAGCTGGATTAGCGAAGTAGGGATAATAAAACATTGCAATTCCTAAAGAATGAAAGGAATAAATTAAACACAATGCTTGAGATAATGTTGAAATGAATAATTCTTTAACAGTGTTCGACAACGGAGCGGATGTTTTTAATTGATAAAGTAAATATCTTCATTTATTTGGCATTTATAAGACAACAATCTTTGTCATGTAGAAATAGGTAGTAGAACGTTCCGGAGTTAGACAAATATTGTGCCTTATTTGAATGTATCTAACATATTCACATGGAAGCGTTTTAACAATATTTTACCGACTAGAGTGGAAAAGTGTTAAGGATGAACTTTGTTTTATATGTGATGTAAAAAGATGATTTTATGCATTACTTTGATTAACCCAAAAATAGGAGCTTATTAAGCAGTACAAGTCATAAAATCGACTTAAGAACGCTAAACTTCCATTACTGTGATTGGATATAAGATCAATGATCCCCAATAGAAAGGTTATAGTATTCTCGTGTCATTGATTGGCTTTACAATATGTACAAATATTACCATATTCCCAATAGAAAGCGTGTAAACTGGTCAATTCTAACTATATTCTTCACGAAAAAGCTGCTTTAAAAAGGGATGGGAATGGCAATTCTAGAGTGATATTGAAAAGGCTTTATGTGAGTAATTTATTACTGTTTATCTTCTAAAGCAAATTATACACACATTAGAAAACAATAAATGAACAAACAGTTGCAATGATGATGCTATAGGCTCTAGGCGCCAAGTACCTTGATCGGTTAAAGTAAATTACGATTTATACATCGTTTTCCTAACACAGCAATACATTATGGTATGTTATAGTAGTGAGTACAATCGTATGTTAAAGATAACTATTCTGTTAATCAGACAAGCAAGCATACACGATACATAACTGATTAGAATAATGATATACAACATTTGATGAAGCGCCCTATCTAGCTAACATAAGCCACTCTAAAGCGCTTTACAGTGCATAGATATACAATTAATAAAATTAGCATATACATTAATCAATACAATTTTGAGGAATTCGCAGAAGCTGCCTTATCAGGCGCTAACTACTAGTCCTATGCCACCTGGCTTATATCTCCCTATGTATGTATGCCTGCGTATGTGCTGGAGATGTAATGTGGCTAACATAAGCTATGAGATGTGATGTCTTTCAAAAAACGGTATATGTAAGTATTTAACTGCCTACAGATGGCATCGATAATCAATATATTGACTGAAATGTTAAATGAAAGAAATGTAATATTTGGCGGATATTCCACAAAAGATTGAATCAATATTTATGCAAGGTGTATGCAAACCTGAAATGAATCGCATACATACATTAAATCTTTGAAGCTCAAGGCAACGCTCAGGTGAATACTAACGTCAATGCGTTTCGTTTTCTTTTCAGCATTTAGATAAACAGCAGACCCGTGACATGTTGATGACTGGTGTGGAGTCTGAACGTACCAACCCGTGGCGAAACCCCGTCATGGTTTCTTAATTAGTGGCCGTGGTTGACCTTCACCTTGTTAGCCACGTGCACGGTCATCCCTATTCAGCCACAGTGGCATGGCTATTGATATACACAATTTACTCAGTATTCATTTTAAAATAAACCAGTACTCCCGTTATTTTTAAAATTCATAAATTTATGGCTTCTACGCACCTCTCCTTCTGTCTCAGCAGTAGTTTAGACCAAATTGGATTTGCAACTGTTTGACCGCTAGCATCACCGGTGAGTCCTAGAAGGACGAAACAGCTGTGTGATGTAGTGTAATTGTATTGGCATCCTAGTTGTTTTAAAGGTGCAATGTGTGTGTTACGTTCATCTATAAATAAAAGATAAATAAAAACAAAAACAGTTGACAAAAATAGTGGAACATACGACGATGCCGCATGTGTACCAGTGAGCAGTGGTTCGCGTGTCATCAAAAAAGCTTCCCACATATCAGCGCCCTACCATACTAGCGTGAGGTAACGGGCCGGGAATCGTCTGGAAGGTCGGCTCGATGTTTCGATTTTTATTGTGAGAAGATTGCTCTTGTAATGAACAGCAAACCTGATACACCCTAATCTAAAACCTAATTTCGTTTCGTCTACTTAGTTAACGACATTTTGTTTTTATTTTGGTTACAAGGCGTGATATAATATACATACCGGTATTATATCTTAATTCCGGAAATCACTGGTCCTGTCAATTCGTCCGCTTACCTACGTGCCAAGTGTGAACCTGGTAGAATCTCCTTTTTGTGTCTGTGGCCACCCCTGTGAACACTCATACCATTAATTTTTCCAATGTCCAATGTACAGGAACATTAGACATGAAATGTTAAATAAGTTGATACCATATCATCCTGTGCACCTAGAGTTACTATTGTCTGGAAATGTTGATTTATCAAATGTTGACAATGAGCGTATTATTGAAATTGTTCAGGCTTGTATTTATTCAAGTGACCGTTGACTTTAAACATATTTTATTGTCCAAATATTGGCACAAAAGGATCAGGCACAAGTTATTTCAACTTATGAAGCCGTCTCCTATTGACATAACAAATTTACAGACAAATGATGGCACAAATAATTATAAATTCAATTTTTAAAACAAGTCAATTTTTCACGGGAATAAACATATATAAGCATAAAGTTCAAAATCTTCCGCTGGATTTAATGAATTTTTGCACATGATCAAATAAGTAATAATTTTCCTCCAAAGCCAACAACTCATTTCCAAATAATAGTAGTTTTAAACTTATTTGTGTATTTAAATTACTTAAAACTTGAAACATGTCAGTACGAACAGTTGCATAACGTTGGCACTCAAAAAAGAAGTGATATGCGTTTTCACAATGATGTAAACAATTTGGACAGTGTGAGTCAGTAACTAAGTTTGCAAGGAATAGGTCATCTTTAAGAGAACTGCATTTATGTCTTAACCTGGTATGTATAATATTTAGTTTTCTTTCGCCATACTTATAATAGCAAGGTTGACTAGTAGGAATATTTTGGGATANTATTAGTCCACAGACATATGTATACATATAAATCAACAATAGTGAGTACTTAACATACTGTCTATAATGATCCACAAGTATATAGTTGTTTTTTGAAATCATACTGACTTGTCTCTTTGTTTCTTTTTTGCCTTTGATCCTGACTCTAGCTCTTCAGCTGGAGTTGGTGGAGACCGCACATTTTATTAAATTGCTACAATACAAGTTACAAAAAAAAAAGAAAAATAACAAAATTACAAAGACAAATGGCACTCTCCTTAATATTTAAGAAAGATGACCCTCTTGACTTAAAAAAACTGGCGTCCTATCACATTACTCAACGTAAACTACAAGATACCAGCACGATGCGGAAAGGATCAAACCACTACTCCCAAACTTTTTTAACACCGACCAAAACGGCTTCATTAAATTTGATACATAGGTTATACCATCCGACAAATTCAAGACATAATTGATAATGCAGAAAAAAATAAAATGAATGGAACAATATTATTTTTAGACTTCGCTAAAACTTTCGATACCATGGAATGGGAATTTATTTATCAAACAATGCCAAAATTTGGCTTCAATAACTCATTTATAAATTGGATAAAAACATTATATAATGATTTTTGAATGAATAATCTGTGTAATTAACAATCATGGATGGATCTAAGATCCAATCAAAATATCACGTGGTAAAAGACAGGGTTGTCCTGCATCCACATTATTGTTCGTTATGGCAGCAGAAGTAATGGCTATAAGAATCAGAAGCAATCAAAACATACAAGGAATAGCAATACAAAATCAGCAAAACATACCGTACAAAATATCACAACTAGCAGACGACACAACACTGTTCTTAAAGACAAAACATGATATTACTAAATCACTAAATATAATAGAAACATTTGGAACCTACTCTGGTCTAATATTGAATAGAGAGAAGTCAAAAGAACTCATACCAGGTAATCAGACACAGATCAACGACAATTTTGAAGGAATTGCATGGACTGATATTACAATCAAAGCACTAGGAGTTCACTTTGGACTAAATAAGCAACAAACACTACACTTAAATTGGAAAAGTAAACTGGATAAAGTTAAAAAACTAATAAACAATTGGAAAATCAGAAAACTTACTATAATAGGGAGAATACAAATAGTAAAATCACTGCTAGTACCACAATTAACATACCTAATATCTGTATTATATGTACCTCAAAACATATTAAAATAATTTGAAAAGTTGATATATAATTACAAGCGAAAAAAGGTAAAAAGAAATATAATAATCAGACCATACACTGAAGGTGGGCTCAACTCAATCGATATAAGATCACATATTGATACATTAAGAATAAGCTGGCTGAAAAAAAGCTGTTATCATATAGGAAGCTGCATTATGGAAAATTAACCCAATGCTACAACTAAACACTTTCGGCAAAAATATGCTTATATGTAAAATGAATCTAGACAACTTAAAAAATCTCTCAAAAAGTGAAAATCTATCCCCTTTCTATTATGAAATCATAGCAGCATGGATCAAACTGCTAGAACCAAACAAAGAACCAAAACATTATAACACCATGTTAGCTCAAATTATATGGGGGAAAAAGACATATACAGATGAAAGGTAAAACCATATGTTTTAAAAAATGGATAGAATCAGACATTGTAACTATCAAAGATTCATTACAACACAATGTAGAAATAAATGTTAATGCATGGAAAATTAACAAATGAAACTAATTGGCTATCAGAACTATCCACATTAAAAAGAAGCAATATCAAAAACCAAAATTAAAGAAAGTAATGTTAACATGCATAACTTTAAAGTTAAAATCCGGTCATCAAAATCCCAAAACTAGGAACAGTAACCATTAAAAACTGTAATAATTAAACAATCTACGAACACTAAGTCAAAATGCGTTCTGAAAAACCAATCGCAAGAATATCCTGGGAGAACAAGTTCAATAAAACAGCCAATTGAAATATACAAATTATTTTGTCTTTCAATACTTAATAAACAACAAGCTGAAAGAATATAAATGGAAACTAATAAACAAAATCCTTACATCAAAGCAAATTCTGCAGCAATGGAAAATAAGTGAAACACCAAACTGTCTGCAACACTATAAAAGATTATGAACATTTTTCATAAAATATAAATATTTACAAAATTTTCACAAGACAATCATATATATATTTTTTGAAAAACTAGGATATAAAAAAGATATGTTGACTCTAAAAAACTAAAAAAGCAATTGGATACAAGATAGAATACTCGAAATATAATGAAGGAAATGACCTTTTAACAAGCTTTGTAATTTACAGAAACTTTTATGTCACTGAGGCAAAAACAAAACAAGTAAATGTAACAAGTATATTCAAACAATATCTACAAATGACAGAAGATGTCAACAAATACCAAAAATGTCAATGCAAAACATTCAAAGATCCATAATCTTCTGTCAGATTGGGCTATGCTGATGCATTTTTTTAATCTTCATCAACGGTAACGTCTACCGAAGACATCTTACACGCATACAAGTTTATATAGTACCTTTCTTTCGTTTTTTTAATTGTGATTTGATTGGGACAGGAATCTACAGTTGATAAGTTAGTTTAGTTGGTAAGAGTGACATTATAATGATATGAGGTCCAGGGTTCGAAACCTAATCTTTTTCAAAATTGAATTTGTCAAAGCTTTAGTCAATCAAGAAAAAAGTTAACTTCCTGCCACTGGTCTTTAGCACACTGTTAAACAGTCAGGATATTGTATTGTTGGAGTTGAAAGTCAATATATCCAGGTAACTTGTTTGTTCATTTTGGTGTTTATGTCGGAACTACTTTCTTACTGTCAAGGCGTGCATAAATGTCCAGCAACCTTTCCAAGAGACTGCGAAATGTATGGAGAATGAGAAGGTTCATTTCAGAATCCCTTTCCATTTGTTTATGGTAGTTATAAATCGCAAAAATGCAGTTCAAAGGAACTCCAACGGCGTCATGGATCTGTTGTGTTACTTTGCAAACTTCCTGGCTCTCCAACATTTCTCGTACCGTTGCCGCACTTTGACTTGCTTTATCTATCTTGGTCAGCAAAACCACCATTTGAAGATTTTCTGGGAAAAGTTCATCAAAAAGAAATTACATTTTCGTCAGCATTGTTTAAGGAACTAAAGGGACAGCGCAAAAAAAGGTTTGATGGGCCTGCATCGCTCATCAAGTATTAATCCCACACTTCTTACCTTAAAAGTGATCTAAAATATAGCTACAGGCAAAATATCAGTATTTAAGACTACAAGTCATTCAAAAGAACCTTTTGGAAGATTTAAAAACATTTGACCCCTGTGACCCTGAAAGTCTAACAAGGTCATTACGTTGAACAAACTCTATAGCCCTTCATCTAAGCATGCAGTTTGCAAAATATCATTACGCTAGACCTTTCGTGTTTTGAGATTAGGTTATTAAAATGTTTATACATTTTTTGAATCAAATGGGTCAAGGTAATTCAAATGAAAAAGCTTGAAAGCCCTTCATCCAAGCATGCTACTTATTAAATATCAACATTTAAGGCTTTATGGTTATTCAGAAAAAGTCGTTTAAAGTTTAAAACATATTTGACCTCTGTGACCTTGAATATGAGTGAAAGACATTCATTTAAACAAACTTGGTAGCCCTTTATCCTAGCATGCTACTGGCTAAATCTCATCATCCTGGGCCTTTTGGTTATTCAGAACAAGTTGTTTAAAGATTTTAACATATTTGACCCCTGTGACCTTGAATATAAGTCAAGGTAATTCATTTTAAGAAACTTGGTAGCCCTTCTTCCAAGCATGATACTGGCCAAATTTTGTGAAGGAATATTGAAATTGAGAATATCTTAATTATCTTGCATGGAAAATTATTACAAACCTCTATCTTTGGTATACTTTTTGAAATGTTGCATTCTTGTAATATCACAGGCTGTTATCTTGTCTGAGCTGTCAAGGACATAAACAACACAGCACTTCAATGAGTCGCCCTGAAGGAAAAGAAAAAAAACTAAACTTAACAGCTGAATATGACTAATGCTAAAATACTGATTAAGTTACTTTAACAAAACGATGTGACCTAAGGATGGGTGCCAATTCGGGCCTTCTGGTGGCTATAATCGATGCGTTTCACTTTTTAGTTCTCTGGGCTATTTATATCCCAGAGACTATATATATAGCCATGGATCTAAAATTTTGTCGGAGTTTTGCTTGTAATCGCATCAGTGATATAACTTTGCATTTGTGGGAGAATATTGTGATGCCTGATTGCAAGTTTGATACAGTTTTCTTGAAAATATACTAAACTTAATTAGTTATCCTGTAATTAACTAAAATGTGAACTTTAACATGCTAAATATAGCACACACGTCAATTAACAGCGTGTGTAACATAAGTGTAAGTCGCTGTGTGTGTATATATATAGCGATAAATAGTTTTAAATGTCCATGTGACGGTAAGAATATAAATAAAACAAAACACGAAGACAAGTATAATCGGCTGGCGCTTTCGCCCATCTTGGGGTTAGCACCTGAAGAGCCCCAAGATGGGCGAAAGCGCTAGCCGATTATACCAGTCTTTTTGTTTTGTTTTATATATAACAGAAAAATGATCCTTACGTACGAAAATATATTCCTGTCTATGCAACAGACCCATGTTTGATATATATATATATGTATTTACATGTAGTTCCTGTATCAAGTTGTTTGTGATATAATCATTGAGCGTTTGCAACTGATTTGTATGGATTGTTGCATGGTGCAGTGGAGTAGATTGGGCCGATAGTGTGGGCGATTGATTGATTGATTGAATGGTATGACGTCATTCAGCAGACGAATCTATTGTGTGGGCCTCAAGGCTTGGGGCTGCAGGGGAAAATCATATTAGGAGTAAACGCATGCGTATCAGACATATGTACCACCTGGGGTATCCACATTCCCCATGGGAACCTTTCCCAATGCTGCTGGAGTTGATAAGAAAAAACAATTAATATTGAAGTGAAAATTGTTAACTCAAAAACAATCAACTGATCACCTGTAAGTTACTGTCGATTCATTACATATATGTACCTTAGCTAGTTGAGATTACAAAAATCATTTTTGAAACAGTATCTTCTGTGTACACATCGTAAGCAAATATTAATAAAAGAAACCCCAATAAAAACCGAAACTACTTACATTTAAGCTTATATTTTTCTGTATTGGTTGTATTTCTTATCTCGCACTTATAAGACCGTAAAACCTTTTTGGCAAGTTAATGTATCAGCTTTCCGATATAATCTTTTTAACTATAATGTATCTAATTTGTATTTTATATTCCCACATATGATTATAAATGTGACGACAGCAATCGACAATTCATTAAGTTTTTTTTCTTTATATGTGATAATCTAAAGACCTTATATAAAGGTCCAGCACAAGTTGGTCGTGAAAACGTACATTCAACAAGTAGCAACTACAAGGCAAGTATACGCGTGTACGATCCCGATAGCCCGACGCAATGGACTCTTTCCAATATTTACTATGACCGTTTAGGTGGGCTAGTAGAATATTTCAAGCCTGTCTGTAGGTTAGTTTTCTTAATAGAAAATTGTACACTCCTGGTACTTTAATGGCAACCATATATAAGTATTGACAAGATAAATCTTTTTGTAGAACATGAAATTTACACAGAAGGAAATTAATTACCTCTTTGTTGCACTTTGTTATGTCATCAAAATGCTTATAACTGAACTGATCTGGCTTATCAGCTATGTTGCCTTCCAGACCAGGGAAGTCATACAGCGTTACCTTACCTCCAAGTAATTCAGCACTAGATACCTTGGAAAGAAAAGAAAACGATACTATTGAAGGATATAAAATCAAGAAATTGATTCTTAGGTAATGTTGATGGTTAGTTGATGTATCTTTGGTAAATCAGATTTAAATAGCATTTTGCATTAAAAGACAAAGCATAATTCTATATCTATGAAGCTGATGAATTCGGTTTCTTCGCATAATAAACTTCAAAAGCCGCTTATTGAATGTAGAAGCATTCTATTATGTTATATTTTCATCATATATATAATACAGCTGGTTCGTGTATATGACTTAGCAAACAATGTTAACATTGCAAACTATACTTTCGTATGATAAAGACGTCTTCCATACTGAAATATAACTGGTGTTATTTTAAAATAAACATGTTTGGATATCCCATATTATTATTACAATGACAGTAGTATGCAGTTCCTGATAAAACAAGTATTCTTCGTCCCAGATATATAAAGAAAGCATCGATTTGCCCAAATGGCCAACGCATTGAGTATTGTAATTATCACTCAATGCTTGCAAATATATTGAACCATGCTATTTCTGATAAGGAAAAGTGTAATTACATAATACTCACCTAAGTCGAAGGATGTATGCATTGTCAGGCCGTGTTAACATTTATATAAGGATGTGTGTAACATGTGATGCTTTATTAGATCGCTCAACCAGAAATCCCCTTAAGGCTAAAATCATCGGTTGTTACATATTAATTAGTGAATGCATGTTGTAGCTTTTGATTAAAATTTCATAGAGTTTGGTTTGTGTGTGTCCTTTCAAAGTGAGTTCATTATTTATTTCTTAAGAAATAGCGGTAATAAACATCATCTGTCAAAATCCAGATTGCCAATAGTATACAACTTGTTTTGTTCCAGTCAGTTTGTAAATAAAACATTTATATATACGCACTATGGAAAACCTGCATATGAAAATTAAGAACATTCTTTCAAGTATTTCTTAAGCTGTCAAAATCCAAGGTTGCTGCCTGGTGGCCATCTGGTTTCCCCAATCAGTCCCAAAGAGAAATTTGAACAAAAATGAACAAGGAAAAACCTTTCTATGAAATTTGAGAAAGAAACTGTCAAGAAAAATCGAAAACAAAATTTTCCAAATCCTAGCGGCCAACTTCACTTTCTAGAACAGTTCCAAAATAGCACATGCACAAGTAAGGGCCACGGGGAACCTTCATATAAAGTGTTGAGAAAGAAGCATTGGCTACTTCTAGCAGTAATAGCGATAACAAGAATTGTTGAAGGACGGACGACGGATGGATGACGGACAACGGGCGATTTGAATAGCCAACCATTAAATTTGGCTTGTTGATTTGTTACATGTATCACTACCCTAGTTCTTTTTACGAGGTCATGAGATTAGCTTGATTTGACAGGTATCTCGCGAATGAAATAGAATACGCTACCCTTCTCGAACACTTAGTATTATTCTACATATACTTTTTCAAGTGTCTCCATGTAAAAAATTCTATATTCCTTTTTTGGCCCTATTTTAACGATTCTGAGTTCAAATTAGGTGTTGTTGACATTGCGGTATTATCTTGTTTTAAATGGAGTACATCTTGGATCTTTCAACGATATTAAATAACAGTACCTTAGTCGTGAATGACCCTTGTGATTTTCCAGGAAGAGCTAATGTTGATATCCTGCTATCTCTCCAACTTAGAAATGAGCTAATGGCACTTGACTTGCCGGCACCATATTGTCCAATGAACCAAAAGCATGCCTTGTTATCAGGTATTTTTGCACTCAAGCTTTTTATGAGATCCTCTTCCATTTCCTAATAATATAAACAAACATTTTTTTCAATTATAGTAAAATATATATACATGTACATGTGAAAAAAATCTTGTTTCGATGATTATACATCTGTTACTATTTATGCATTCTGCCTTTTCATCTGAATTTTCAAGTTTGAATTATGAAATTGCATATGTCTCACAAGCACAAACGACAGCATGGTCTTATATTGGCACCGATGTAAAAAACAATCCCAGATGTTCGTCGAGTTTTGCACCACATTCGTCACCGTTATGTTTTTCATACGTCTTAGGTCATTCATGAAAAAAAATCATATATTTGGTAAATCTTACCTGACTTTCCGACGGTTGAAAGTATTCTGAATAGCCTTTTGAGAACTCTGAACTGGTCGTACCTACAAATGAGAAATCAAACACCAATAAACATGTTTGTCTTTTTTAGGTAAGCATGTTTACCGGTACTGTAAACTAACATGCAATGATACCTGTTCTTCTGTTGGCAAAAAAATAGAGAATGACATTCACTATACTTTTAATTGCATAAGGTATACCCTTTACTTTCGTTTTGGGTATGACTAGGTCGTTCAGTCGGTAACAGATTGATTATCTATTTTGTATTGAAAAAACACCCCTGTTCAGTGGGTTAAAAATAGATACCTTTAACCTTGAAATTGAAAGTAATCTATATACAAAAAGAATAACTTTTGGCTGCTATCCAACAGCCTTCTTCAGTCCTACTGGGAATTGTAAATTGTATTGATGGAAATAATGCAGATTCCATTACATATTTTATCATTTAAAAAAGATCATTTCGTTATTTTTTTTTGCAATAATGTGGAGAATAGCCTTTAAAAAAAATAAATATAAAACACCGTTATTTTTCTTAACTGGAATGAAAACTGAAAAGAAAACTCTTCTTTAACTGCGAAAATGTTCATAAAAAGATCCGCCATAAAAGGGTTTCTTTTCAAAAATGTTTTTGAAGATGTAGTCATGGCAGCGAAAACGTTTCTAATGCATAGTTATAGATTTTAGTACGGGCATCATTACATTTGAAATGACGGATTAATTGTTATTTCAAAACTTACACAGTTCCACTTCCTGACTAGTCGCACTTTTATTCGTCCGGAAGTTTGTTATCTCGCACACATATCGTCCAGCATCAGACTGCTGAACTGGTGATATTGTGAGTGACATGTCCTCATTGATTGTAAATCGGTTGTTGCATGAAGATATCGACTTGCCATTATGGTTCCACGTGCAGTCGTCTGCTCCATAAATCTTGCAGTCAAATGTTACTTTGGAGTGTATTTGAGCCACATATTTGTTTTTCAAGATGATTACCTCAGGTAAAACCTCTACAACCCAACAAAAACTCTAATAACATATATTTACCATCAAGTTAACAACGCCACAATACACAGATACCAGACACGGGTCTAAACTGTTTCCCAGTTTAGACCCGTGGCTTATTTTTAGTAGCTTGATTACATTTTGCTCTTTATGCCCAGAAATTGTATATATGTGGTTTGGGTTGGGAATCCCTTCCTAGCCAAACTAGAAATGTCGCCTATTGGCTAACTAATACCCCCGCATTCCGGCTGCTAATTGCGCCTGTAGGTGATAAAATAAACAAGTTAAAAAGTATGTACAAAGAGCAAGGGTCATGGAAAAGTCTATTTTCAGATGGCGTACCAATAGACCGATGGAAAAGACAAACACCGCTATGTAGCTTGTATCAATGCTACATATTCTTCAAGGTATGTGTATACAATATGCAATAATTAGCCATTTCAGTAACATAATGCATAATGACCTTTGATCTCATGACCTTATAAGTTTGTCACAATGTAGCCTGCATAATTGGCTATACTACTCTAATGTATCTGTGTATGCCATTTCCGATATAATTAGCTATTCTTGTAACGTAATTCATTCGTGAGTGATCTTTGAACTTTGACCCTACGATCTTGGGAGTTTGTCAATAGAGTAGCTTTCATAATGTCTACAACATTTAATGTATATGTGTATACAAAATACCTACCATATCCGAGGAAATTAGCCATGTCAGTAACGTAATGTACCGTTTACAGAAGTCAATGACCATAACTCTGGTAAATAATAAAGGAACATACTGGTGTCCAGGAAGACACAAGTTCATTTCAGGGATAACATGTGTGCACAGTTTCATCAAAACCCATGCATAAACCTGGGAGACTTAGGAGGTACAATATTTTGTCAGCAGACGGACGGACGTACGGACACATAGACGTCCAGCATACTCCACCTAACTTCGTTGCGGGTGGTATAAAATGTATATAAAGATAAAGGAGGGAAACCACAATTTAATTCAAGTTCAGACCGCAGAACTTTGTCCAGAGGGACTGACAGAATCCTTTGGGCAATTAAGGTGGTATGAACGCATCATACTCTTCATGCCCAAAAACTATATACATGGTTATATGATAGGGACCTCAAATGTTTGATCACGGAACTAAGCTTCCATGGGCGGGGCTGGATCTTAGCAACAATCCTAGATACATACGTGTCTATCTTCAGGTCAGAAAATTGCATATATGGTTAAAAGTTGGGGATCAAATTCGTTCCCACATCGGACCAAGGAACTAAGTACCCATTGAATAGGCACTGACCAATGGGAAATCTAAGGTTCAAAGGATGAGACAAGGAGACGAGTCTGATTCTTTGATGTACATCAAAACCTATCGAACCTATATCGGAAATTTTGCTAGCATCTAGTCTAGTCTAGTGATGTTGGGTATAGGTATATAATATAAGCAGGGGATTTCGACTATTTCCACATCTAGCCAAAATCGCTTTCTCAAAACAGAAAGGAAAAATATTTGGCCCCAACACTGTGCCAAAGGATGGACACACATTCCATATATACAATATTGTGTCCCTTTGGCCAAATGATGCTCTCTACAAAATATGTTTAAAAATCCCTCCATCTGTACGGAAAAAAGAGAGTGTTTTTTAAGGTTTATCTCTATTTAACATATTGGGCCATCACCCGTCCCTAGAGTGGTCACACCCTCCGTTTATACAATACTGGGTACTTTTGCGCGACAATGCTCTTGACTAAATAAAGTCAAAATAAATGCAGTCGTGCGGGGAATTTGAAAAAAAGGTTGACAGACGGACGACGGAAGGAATATGGACATCGCGCCGCGGAATACATGTAAGGTCATCGGCCCTTCAAACCAGATAAGCTTAAAGCTACAGGGTATTACTAAATATGTCGATTATTGATAATCGATGGGATGTGATTGAATAATTGCCCTTGTATTTATATAGAAAAAAAAACAAATATAGGGTTATGAATCATAGTTTTACCCAAAAGAACTGAGTTGTTTGGCCGATGTTGAGATGGGTACTTTATTCCTGATACTCTGCATTCGTAAGTCCCGGCATCCTCAGTGCAAACCTTGTCTATTTTCAGACTCGTGGAGGGCTCGGATATCACTGTGTGCCGTCCGCTTTCCAAGTTTATAGGCTTAGCGTTGTGCATCCAATAAATGGCAGTGGACAATTTCGGGTGTTTAACCACACATGTCAGTTTTATCGGCCTGCATACCGGAACCGTGTATATCGTTTTAGGATATCGGAGAATATTCCACACATCTGAAATCAGAGAGCAAAAGAAAATAATTTCCATTTTTTTTCAATTTGGAAGGTATAGATATTGACTTATATGATTTATTAAAAGGATGTTTCCTTAGTTCATTGTACGGTACAAGGTAGTCAACTCTGCTGGTAGCTATCTTTTTATTTTTATTATGTCACTTATAATTTTCAGTGGTATGAAGAAGTTCCTGCGAACATAAATGAAGTGGTTTTTTTCTCGTAAAATAACACCCTTAAAACCGATCCTAAGCTGGCGAAAAACTTCATAGGATTTAGAAAACAGAAGTGGAAAATAAGTCGGTTCTATGTGTACGGGATTGATCACGGCATCAGAAGCTGCTATGAGAGAGTTCTTACATCAGTCTGGTGTTCGTGTTACGTAGCTTCGGTACTTCAAGGAAAGGTGAAAGGGTACAGCATCCGCGCAGCTCAACATTGATGCTGACGAACACATCATTAAGGGTGACCACTTTTGGCCAAGGAGCATATGGATGAGCGAGTGGTTGCCACGGGATGTCTTTATGGAAAACCAACGTAGCCATGGACAGTTTTAATATAATGTGTTAGAACGCGGTAGGTATCATGTCTGGTGCCCCGTATCTAATCAAGTGGCTACAAAGGCATGATATCCACTTGTGTGGAATATCGGAACACTGGTTCAGAGAACACAATATTTCAGTTATTTTTAGTGTTATAGCTAAGCCAGTTTTTGAGGCTGATCCATTCAGATATAGATGTAATATTAGATGTGATGTAGCGCTCCTTTTTAAAAATAATCTACATAAGGTTCAAGCAATAGATATAAATAACCCAAGAATTGTGGGTACGGAAATCACTCTTTCCAATGATGTTACGTTTTTCTGTTTCTCTGTTTACTTGCCAGCGTCGTCCAGATCATTTGAAATCTTTAATGAGATTATTTGGACTGTCTGTACGTCATTAATTCAGAAAAGGGGAAAGTAATATTACTTGGTGATATGAATGTTAAAGTACTTGGCCCTAGGTTTAATTTTGTTGCTGATGACCAAACATTTGACCAGATGTAATATTCTCTTCGGTAAACGTACAAATCAACTGTGAAGGTCCTCTTTATACGTATACATCACATAATGATATAATTAGAGATTCCATGATTGACCACATTATTATTGAGTCATGTATGTCAGATTTGCTGAGAAACTGTTATATTCTGAATTATTGTGAATCTAATGTATCTGATCATAATCCAGTAATTTGCAGGTTGTCTATTTCATGTATTAAGCCTCGTGAATTGTTAGAAAGAGGCATTGGCTTTGTCAAGTATACTTGGAAAAAAGCTATCAGAAATAGAGAAATCAATTGATATTCTTTTATTCTGAACGACCAATTAGCACAAATAACGGTACCAGAAAAAAGATTACTGATGAAACTATTGAAAAGTTTCAACGTGACATTGTTTTGTGCATGATAAAGTCATCAAACTTATCATTAAGAGTTCTGAAATTTCGTAAGCATCTGAAACAGTATTGGAACAAAAATTTGTTATTAATTCATAGAGAAATGAGACTAAAACGAAACAGATGGATAAATGAGTCTAGCCCTAGGGATAGAGAAAATCGGTGTTATAAGGACTATAAAAAGTCAAAAGCCGAATTCAGACAGTCTTTAAGACAAGCGTTCAATCACTTTATGTCTGAACAATTTGAAGAAATAGACCAGTCATGTGAGCTAAATAAGAAATTGATGTTGCATTTTTTTAATAACAAAAAGATGAAATCAAGGAGCAGACAATCAGAATTGAAATACAAAGTTTCAACGTTCAGAGAACCTGAAGATATTATAGAAGTATGGGCAGAGCATTTTGAAAATACTTCAAAAGAATCTTCTGATGATATGTTTGATGACGATTTCAAAAACTTCATTTTGAAAAAGATCGGTGAGATTGAAAGTGGTGTAGGCGGAGAGAAAGATGCATTTTTAGAGAAAGTCTGTACTGAAGAATAATTGAGGAATATTTGTTGCAAACTTAAATCCGGTAAAGCAGGAGGATGGGATACTATTGTTTATGAACATCTATGAAGTGCTTACTAAATTGTTAAATCTTATTTTTGCTCATGAGTTTAAACCCTCTGACTGGAAAAGAGGGCAAATCATTACCTTATATCAAGGTAATAATAAACCCAGAGAGGATCCGAATAGCTACAGAGGTGTAGCTTTACTTTCAGTTATTTTGAAAGTATTCGAAATGATAATTGCTGATAGAATCAGTCCTGTTTTGAGCTCGGAAAATTTTCCAAATAAACAGCAAACAGCATACCAGAAAAAAACTGTGTAGCTTATGCACAGCATTTTCCTTACAAGAGTGCATTAAGTATAATTTGGAAAATAAGGAAAATGTCACTGTAGCATTTCTGGACAGTAACAAGGCTTTTGATACTGTTTGGCATGCTGGATTGTTGTACAAGTTGCATGAAATATGACTTAAATAAAAGACATGGTTAACCTTAAAATGAATATACACTGTTGTGAACAGTTGTATAATCGCTAATAACCATAAATCGAGGTTGGTTAATGTCCAAAGAGGTATCTTACAAGGAAGTGCATTGTCAGCGAAAATGTACTTAGTTTTTATTAATGATCTACTGAATCAAATAGAGAAGAGCGGTAAAGGTTGCACTGTAATTGGGAATAACTGTAAATGTTCCTACTCAAGCTGACGATATCACATTGATTGCTAATAGAGTCAGCGATGTTAGGTGTACGCTAGATATATGCGTAAAATATAGCAAGAAATGGAGATTTGTATTTTCTTCGAATAAGGCAAAAATAATGAAATTTCATTATACCAAAAGAAAACCATTAGTAAATAATACTTTGTATCTTGCTTTGGCCGATTTCATGGGGTGATGAATCGAGTTGGTCTTGGAACAAATTTAAAGCAGTTCATGTTGCATTTGTTTCAAGACCAACTCAATTCATCACCCCATGAAATCGACCACAGCAAGAATCAATCCTTATATTTCAATCGTGGTTTTTTCAATAATTTGAACTTGTGAAGTCCATTCTGATCGTTTGTCCCATGTTCTGGAGCTTGTGCAAGTCTACGTATAGACGTAATGTAAAAAATATAGTCCGTCATTGAAAGACCATCATGTAACATGCTGATGTACGTTGATAATCCAATCAAGCCAAATTATGTAGAAACAAAACACAAAACAATATTTTAAATGTCATATTTAAATTTTATTGATGAATTCATAAGATATCAAATTTTCTGATGCGTCATCGCGGAAGAATAATGTCTAAACGCGGTGCACAGGCTCAGCTGCGAGTCTACGGCAGCCAACCTTTTACTAGCTCGAAGTGGAGAGCCGCTAAATTTCGAGATTCTACATCTTCTGGAATGTGAAGCTGCAGTAATTGAATGTCGAATTAGACAGGAAACCAGACGTGGCTTGAACGGATGAAACATGTGATATGACATTTGACAGTTCGACTGTATTTCATATAAGACGGGACCACATGGATACACATATGCTATAACTGATATGGGTCACAGCATATATAAACATACATTTATATGTTTGTTTATGTGTGCCGTGACCCATATAAGTTATAGCATGATATGTGTATTTCAGACATTTGTACCGAACCCCTGTGGATCTACTTACACAAGGCAGAATGGGTACCTACAGGTAGGATTTCTAGGGCAGTTTATGACTTGTCACTACCGCTAGCAATCGTGAGCTGATAATATTTTGCTGATTTATCGTTTTTGGCTGTTTGAAAAATTTCTAGTGTTGCTTCAATAAAATGTGAAACCTTTGTTTAAACATTCAAAAGTTATCTCCCTTCGCAAAATTAAACGCACAGGCAATGTTAATCTGGTCAAACTCATGGGCAAATGAAACGGGTTATATTTGGTAGTTGCATTGAGTCCAACTAGGAATTAAAATATACGTTGATGATATTACTCATGTTGGTGTTGCATTAAATTCGAAATTAAATTATTTCAATCGCACCTCTAGAGCATGCTGTAAGATAAAAATTGGTACTATGAGATTCATACGGAACGGTATACATCCAAGGGCTTTAAACCCAATCCCATCATGTTAATTAATTAAACATACGGTATATGCTTCGGCACTGTATTGTTGCGAACTTTGGTAGTTATCACGAACAGAAATTCTTATATTAGAGCGGGCTCACAATTTTGTAATCAAATCTATACAATGATTTGAAAGAAGAACTCGTACCGATATGTGCCGTGGTCTAATAGGATGGTCATTCATAGAAAGTCTTCTTGACGTCAAGAAATTACTATTTTTTGGAAGGCTATGTAGAACGGGAAGGAATACATTATCATTTAAGATTTTTTTGAATCGATTGATTGCAGCAGTTCTGTTGATGGATACAATTTTTTGATTTAAAAGCAGAGTTTCTGTCCAGATTTATTAAGAATAATTCAGTATAGTATAGTCTGTAAAAACGTGTGCATGAATTTATAGATAATTGTAATTTTCATGATAAGAGAAACTGGAAAACTATTGTGAAAGTTTCTGTTTCAACCAAACAGGAAAATGATTTGAGGGAACGTACCCCAATTTTATTTAACTTATTTATTGAAATATCCTTTGGTTATAATTACTGGGATGAATATTCCAAGAACTTATGATACGTATAGAACATTTTGGATAAACCATTTAATCTGTAATATTTCAGATTCCAAATGAAGAAGATCATTATTGAAAGTGTATATGTAGTCGGTATGCACCATTGGGGAGGAAATTAAAGATCAGAGAAGCCTACTTCATTAGTCATGAGCCTAATAGTACTAATAGTACTACAGATGGATATGCTGTTGCTGTGTATACAGACGCAGGGGGACGCGATTCCAGAGGGCTTATCTTCGACGGGAGAATGCTAATTTCGTTTTTTTGCTATTTAAGGAAAGTGTAATTCACGGGCATTTTTACTTAAAACTGAAAGCTAGCCCCGATAAGCTTAACAGGAGAGCT